TCCCGCAGCCCGTTGGTGGCCGCGGCGCCTAGCTCGGGCACGTCCAAGTCCAGTCGGAAAGTTTTATAGCCATTCGCGCGCCGCGCCGGCTCCTTGCCTTTCCGCTTGAGCTTCTTGAGGCCGTTCAGCTCCTTCACGCACACGGTCTTCCACGGCCCGTCCTCGAGAACGGGGATGTGCTTCATGGCGCGGGCAGCGCGCGAGTGGGCTGCCGGCCGCCTCCTTTGTCCGCGTCCTCTCTGCCTCCCCCCACCCCCACCCCTTCTGCCCAGAATCGGCCTCCTCGGGCTCCCCCTGCCCACTGCCTCCTCCACTTGGGAGCGCTGCTCTGTTCCAGAGGATGGTCAGCGCTCGGTAGAACTGCCCGAGCACGTGGTTTCGGGGCCCTTCGGCCCTTCCCCAAATCAGAGCTGGGCCTTCTCCACCCTGCCCTTCGACTTCTCGGGATGCAGCACGGAACTTGCGCACCTAGCACCTCACCGTCCACCCCTCCACCCTAACTCTAACCGGTGGAGGAAAAAACGGAACAGCAGCTTCTCCTGGAGTGGGTGGGGGCGAGGGGGTGGTTGGTGGGGGTTGGGAAGGGCTCTGGAGTGTCCTGAGACCCGCACTCCCACAGCAGCGCGACCTCTGCGTGCCACTTACTGGAGCAGAAGGCTTAGGTGGTAGGCACACTGAGGCTCTGAAAAGGAGTGTGCTTTCCTGTAGTCACACAGCAAGTCAAACAGGCCCTCCTAAGCCGAACGGGGTGCAAGCTTGGGATTTAACCAGACCTAGCATCTGTGAGAATCTGCAGCTACCTTGCCCCCAGCGGCTGCCAAGCCGGGATCTGCTCATCTACGAAATGTGGGGAACGTCAATGCCCAAGTCACTGCCTGGCTGCAAGGAACTAAGTACCTGGCACCAAGGAGGTAGATAGTAGTCAAATGGTAACTTTGGTTAATATTATTCGTAAGAGGCAGACTAGCTCTGAGAGGCAAGTTTTCTGGATTCAACACCCAGCTCTGCTCCTTACAAGCTGAGTGACCTTGGGCAAGTTACTGAGCCTCTCTGTGCCTCCAAGGCGACCTTCCTCCCGGTGCTCGGTGCTCGTGAGGCGTCATTGAACGTGGATGTGCACACCTCTCGGAGCAGTGCCCGCTGTTATTGGGCCAGACAGCTCCCCAGGCCCTCGGTGCTTCATGCCATTCCACTGGAGAGCCTGGAAAGACGAGGTCAAACTGGCAGGCTCCCCTCCAAGACCCTCATCCCAAGGCTGCCCTAAGGAGCCATACAGGGCTTCCCTCCTCCAGGGACCCTTCTGTGGCGGCTCCTCCTGAACACAGTGGTGGTGGTTCAAAGCAGTTTGGGAAGAGAAGGTGGACCCTTGACCTGGCCTTGGGCTCTGGCCTCTGCAGCCACTGGGATCTTCATCTTTGTGGTTTCAGCCCTGCCCTCCCACCCCCAGACCGGGTGGCAGTTTTCCTGTGAAAATGCAGGGCTCACACACCGTCCAGAGTCCAGGGGAGAACCAGAGAATGCCTTAGGGGGACCTTCACCCCCACTTTGCAAACTATAATACCTACCAACGCAGTGGCAAAGGTCACTGCTCCAAGGGGTCCCAAGCCTGCCTGTGGCATACAGAATCCTGGGAGATAGGATGGGGTCTGGGCAGAGGGCTCGGGGGCCACGAGATGGGTCTTGGCTTTTCAACCATTGAGCCCCATGACCCTGGGCAAGACATTTCATTCCACTGGGGTTCTGTTTTCTCATCTGTCCTTGAGAATATTTCTGTCCAGCCAACCTCTCAGAGTAGTTGGGCAAGTGAAAAGAGATCATGGATGCAAAAGGACTTCGACATAAGGCTTCAAACGTACACTCACACATCCTCATCCCCACAGGGACACATACGGAGGAGGCAGGCAGTTTTCTGATGATAGTAAATGCAAAACCTCATTTTTTCCACTGAGATGGGTTCCAACATCACAGTGCATTTGCTCCTCGAGGCCCCTCCTTCCCTGGACACGCAGTGTCTTCCTGCACTTTATGTCCTGAAGGCCAAGGGTGTGCCTCAGAGAGGAGCCCTCATTCTGCTGCTGCTTCCCTACCCAGCCAGAGACCCTCATTCACGGCCTTTGCTCAAAGATCTCCCACACTCCCCTCTGCGTGGCACGCTGTTCCTCACTGTTTGGT